TTGGATATTTGCCCTCACTCTCGGTCAGTAAGTTATTAATATTGCAAAGTTTGGTTGCGAAATCTTAGTTGTAAAATACGGAAAATAATTATAGCCTTGCAAATTCTGTATACTTTTGTATTGCATGCGATACAAAATTGCAATTCAAAAGTATACAAAATTTGAAAACTTTGGATTGCTATATTTTCCTCATTTTACAACATTTCGCAACCAAACTTTGCAGCTTTACTACCCGGGAATATACTTATATGCAATAATGGGAATTGTCTATTGGTTTAATGGGAATTGTCTATTGGTTTACCTGTTGGAGGGGGCTTTGAAAATTTTACTTGTCTTAAGAAGGGGACAACGAAAAAATATTATAACCGTAGAGTTACCCTCAGTCCCCTCCCCCCTCGTACAATAAATAATGAACAGTCCCCAATTGAAAATTAGACAATCGTTTGGTATTGTTGTTAAGAAATGTATATTTTATTTTGTTTTCTACGCGAGGTAGGGAATCGTTTACATTGTTTCTAATTAGTATCACTATAATGTTAATATTCAAATCGTTCCTTTTCAAAGTTATCTTCTTTCTTCAGCCTCTTTCGTTGTTCACTGTTCGTTTTTTCTTTGTCGTTGTCTAGTTTCGTTTGAGCTTCAGTAGCTGTTCATCATTTTTAAGCTTTATTCAGCGTACGTCCACTGACGAATTTGGGTTGTGCACGCCCTTTTATACTAACGGTTGAGGGATCTTTGTGCACGTAATGTAGCAAGTGGTGTGATTTTTATCCAGTCAATCAACGTTGAGGTTTAAAAGTGTGGGTTGGCGTTGGTAGCTCGTTCCAGCCCTCAAATTCTGTTTATTTAATTTTAATTTTAAGGCGTTGTCGCACTTGTCGAGTTGGTTCGCTGTTCAATCGATCAATATTAAAATATGTTTACAACTTAAAATACTTATCAAAATATCATAGTAAAAACTTCAAACTATACCTATGTGAACCTTACTTTACCTACTAAACTAAATTTACTTATAATTTTATTGAACCAAGCTTTTGATGACGTAATGTCATCATTACTCAACCGCGCGAAATATACCGAAGAATGATTGACAGAAATGCCCTAAGCATGCACATTTTCCATGTCAAAGAAGAACCAGCCTTGGACTTTGAATTTATGTAAACACAACAGTCCACCATGCAAGGTTATCGTCCAACTTTGACAGTTTGACAAATCATTTATCTTGCCTAATGGACAGATAATTGACACTTTTACACAAGTCCGAAATAATATATACTTTATCTGCGTTTTACAGCAAAAATGCTCATTATCTCTCCATTTGACGTAACTAGTATCTATAATTACCTGGGGTGCAAACTGAACTATTTTATACTATTTAGATATACTTTCCTAACATTGTTATTCTGCCTAATTTTATACTATATGTGACTGAATTTATAGATCTAAACAACTTGTAATATCTTAGAAATTCATATCGATCTCTACATATCATTTCGTGCCCTTAGCTTAAAGCTAAGCCATCATGCATTAATGTTGTCCTCTACAGCAGGGGCAGGAACCAGGGGCCAGGGGGGCCAAGGTCCCAAGTTTTCAAAAGTGCCCTTTATTCGGTGGCAAAGTGCCTTTTGTGTTCGTGAAAAATGTTGTTCAGATTGCATTTTTGCCTCAATGGCCTTTGATTAATGCCAACATTTTCGCAACATATCTGTGCCCTTTATGATTGCATTTATTTTTCTTCTCTCCCTCAGGGCCGTAGCGAGGGAGGCTATTGAGGGGGTGGTGGTTAGCCCCCAAACGTTTTTAAAATTAACATATTCGGAAAATCGAGTTGGCCATTCGGAAAATTACGGCAATAATAATAGTACAGCATAAACTGATTTACGAAATCAAGGCATTTACGTGCATTCCATTTAACTGAAATCGTAAATCGGTAAATGTTTTTCGGTTTATTACTTCTTAGGGCCGAAGAAACCGCGAGGGGGGGTTTGGGGGGAGGGTTGAGCCCTCCCAATAATTTGCTAATAACCATTCTTGTGTCAAAATCATGCAGACCTTTATCATTTAAATAGTATACCTTTAAGATAGTGACAATTGATTAATTTTAAGCGGTAACATTATCCACGACAAACTGCAAAGAATCATATTATACATACTTTCCTGCAACTTCCCCAATATATAGTTAATTAAATACGCCTTCACCCATTTAGTACAACTAAATTGCAAGCAAATTGTAAATTTCGATATACTAAAACGCTGTTTTCTGACCATCAGAATTCTGTCAAAACTTTCCCAAAGTCCAGGAAATGGCATTTCAGAGACTCTAAATTTAAAAATTTCCTCGGGCCTTTGGCCCTCGTTCTCAACCCCCAATCAAAAAGATATTCCTACGGCACTGCATGCTTCCGTAATATGTCTGTGCGTAAAATATGCGTATTTTTGTTTGTAAATTGCGTCTTCATTTTCCGGATAGCAAACACCTTCGTGGCTTCGTAGGCCATGAAATACTCGAAAATTTTTGTTGTCATTCGGCCTACACCGCCCCTCCCCCCAACTATACATGCTAGCTTCGGCCCTACCCGTCGCCCACATTTCCGGGAAAAATTTTTTAGGTGCCCTTTCCATTCTAAAAGTGCCCCTCGAAACCGAGGCCCCTCAACTTTTTGATGCTTCCTACGCCCCTGCTCTACAGATACCCATGTATGATGTGTCTGGCATGACTGCACTAGCACAATCATTATTATTATATACGCTTTCCTTCAAACTTTTAGCTCTTGGCCGCAATGAAGAATTTCGACACAAATAAATTATGCAAACTAACTTTAAATATTGACAAACACATTTAGGATCTAGGCTTTAGAAGAAGCTTCACGATTTCCGAGCTTATAGCGATAAAGTAAACTATGTTTTCGAGGGGGCTAAATTTCCGATGGGGGGAGGGATTTCCTAGGGCACCAGTCTCGTGAAAACATCTATTATAGATAATATTGTCTGGACTCTGAGGTTACCAGTTAAGGGCCTTCGCTCAAAACGTCGAAATTCTCCTTATATTTTTCAGGTAGTTGCATCCCTACCAACGAAAGCTTTGACCGAAATGAAATTGTGCTGGTTTGAATTGTGCCCGGTCTTATGTAACAACTTATATACTAATACTAGAAATACATGCATGCAATAACCCCTCGCCTGTTTTCAAAAGATATACTCAGTGCCGTTGCGAGCACTTCGTCGCAGGGTGTGTGTGTGGTTAGATAGAGGGGGGGGTTACCAAAAAGTTTCCAGATGTACACAAATTTTTGAGTACATATAATAATTTTTCCGAAAATACAGTTGCTTTCCAAATTCACTTTCTCAGTCATGTCCTGAGAATTACCTGAATTCTCCTGAAAATCTTCTGCAAATCTACTTAATTAAATGTACGTACTAAAAGTGCACTGGAAATCTACCTGAAATTCATCATAAGCAATAATCAGGGGTGTTGCCCCCCCCCCCCAGTGAGTTCCAAGCAAACACTCTCTGATTTATTGTTCGTGTATTTCGATCACCTCCCAAAATATTGTGCATCATACTATAAAGCATTTTGCTGTTGAAATGCTCTAGCATGGTTCAAATTTATGAATTTTTATTACATAAAGTATGGTGTTTTACAGAGTTTTCGAGCACTGACAAAAATGATAATCTCAGATGTGAAATTATTCATGATAATCTCACATGTAAAAATTTATCGCCTTTTCAATTATCGCTTTTCTGTAAACATTATCGCTTTTCATTTAAGACTGTCCTTTATATAATAAACAGAAAAATACATGGGTAGTTGGAAATACCAGATTTATTTTTTGTGTTGAACATGACATCTCACTCGTTCGCTGCGTTCACTTGTTCGCTGCACACTGATGTTCAACACTCGAAATAAATCTGGTATTTCGTGCACCCATGTATTATTCTCTATTTAAACTACAGCTAGACTGGTTTAAATTATTATCAATTTATCAGTGATTGTAAAAGTTGGAGATAGAAGTGTTTTGTTTTATAAAATTATCAAGTTGTCGGTGATCGCAAAACCTCCAAATCCTTAATTTCAAATGTTAGAATGTTAGGGTTAGAATGTTAGGGTTTGTAATATATACATTTTAAGACCTGACCAGGAACGACTGCGAAAAATGCAGCACAAGGTCCTATGGAAGGAAGTGAACCTGTAGACGGCTCTGCGATTCCGGTGCAGCGCTCTAACCAACTGAGCTACAGAGGCCAGCTGTTGAGCTTTAACCGTAAGTTCATGTATATTTAAGTAATCGGATGTGCGGGTTATGATAAGGTGGACTTCAATAATTTGGATTCTTGCACTTCACTTGGTGGACTTAATATTAGAATGTTAGGGTTTGTAATCCAAGTGAGAATATATATACATTTTAAGACCTAACAAGGAACGACTGCGAAAAATGCAGCACAAGGTCCTCTGGTAGGAATTGAACCTACGGCCCTGCGATTCCGGTGCAGCGCTCTAACCAACTGAGCTACAGAGGCCAGCTGTTGAGCTTTAACCGTAGGTTCATGTATATTTAAGTAATCGGGTGTGCGGGTTATGATAAGGTGGACTTCAATAATTTGGATTCTTGCACTTCACTTGGTGGACTTAATATTAGAATGTTAGGGTTTGTAATCCAAGTGAGAATATATACATTTTAAGACCTAACCAGGAACGACTGCGAAAAATGCAGCACAAGGTCCTCTGGTAGGAATTGAACCTGTAGACGGCTCTGCGATTCCGGTGCAGCGCTCTAACCAACTGAGCTACAGAGGCCAGCTGTTGAGCTTTAACCGTAAGTTCATGTATATTTAAGTAATCATGCAGGTGTGCGGGTTATGATAAGGTGGACTTCAATAATTTGGATTCTTGCACTTCACTTGGTGGAATTAATATTAGAATGTTAGGGTTTGTAATCCAAGTGAGAATATATACATTTTAAGACCTAACCAGGAACGACTGCGAAAAATGCAGCACAAGGTCCTCTGGTAGGAATTGAACCTACGGCCCTGCGATTCCGGTGCAGCGCTCTAACCAACTGAGTTACAGCTCGGCCAGCTGTTGAGCTTTAACCATAAGTTCATGTATATTTAGGTAATCGGGTGTGCGGGTTATGATAAGGTGGACTTCAATAATTTGGATTCTTGCACTTCACTTGTTGGGATTAATATTTGAATGTTAGGATTTGTAATCCAAGTGAGAATATATACATTTTAAGACCTAACCAGGAACGACTGCGAAAAATGCAGCACATGGTCCTCTGGTAGGAATTGAACCTACGGCCCTGTGATTCCGGTGCAGCGCTCTAACCAACTGAGCTACAGAGGCCAGCTGTTGAGCTTTAACCGTAAGTTCATCTATATTTAAGTAATCGGGTGTGCGGGTTATGATAAGATGGACTTCAATAATTTGGATTCTTGCACTTCACTTGGTGGACTTAATATTAGAATGTTAGGGTTTGTAATCCAAGTGAGAATATATACATTTTAAGACCCAACCAGGATTGACTGCGAAAAATGCAGCACAAGGTCCTCTGGTAGGAATTGAACCTACGGCCCTGCGATTCCGGTGCAGCGCTCTAACCAACTGAGCTACAGCTCGGCCAGCTGTTGAGCTTTAACCATAAGTTCATGTATATTTAGGTAATCGGGTGTGCGGGTTATGATAAAGTGGACTTCAATAATTTGGATTCTTGCACTTCACTTGTTGGGATTAATATTTGAATGTTAGGGTTTGTAATCCAAGTGAGAATATATACATTTTAAGACCTACCAAGGAGCGACTGCGAAAAATGCAGCACAAGGTCCTCTGGTAGGAATTGAACCTACGGCCCTGCGATTCCGGTGCAGTGCTCTAACCAACTGAGCTACAAGAGACCAGCTGTCAAGCTTTAACCGTAAGTTCATGTATATTTAGGTAATCGGGTGTGCGGGTTGTGATAAGGTGGACTTCAATAATTTGGATTCTTGCACTTCACTTGGTGGAATTAAAATTAGAATGTTAGGGTTTGTAATCCAAGTGAGAATATATACATTTGTATATTCTCACTTGGATTACAAAATATATACACAAAATATGTACATGTACTATACATTTGTATATTCTCACTTGGATTACAAAATATTCTCACTTGGATTACAAAATATATACATGTACATATTCTCACTTGGATTACAAACCCTAACATTCTAATATTAATTCCACAAGTGAAGTGCAAGAATCCAAATTATTAATTTCAAATGCCCCGCCGGGGCTAAGGTTCGAATGGAAATGCCCAACCCCCGGGATGTGCTTTACAGGAAAATGGCTGGGCGAGGGGGATGGGCACACTTGGATTTGGCTGATGCATTAAAAGTCCTGTGCTTATTCCAGACTGCTTGTCAAATATTTACTTGCTAGAAGTAGAAATTTACTCTCATGACCGCTGGATGAAGAAGACATTAAATAAGTACTGGTCAATAAACAGAAATGTATTTTATTTCATAGTATTACAATTTTATTTTTATGCTATAAAAATAAAATATAAACATGCAGCATAGAATATGCAAATTCGAGGCAAAACTATTGTTGAATCGGTTTATTTATAGGATTTATAACAAATAGCAACTATAAAAGTTTGTACCTTGTCTTCACATCGTAATAGCCAATGCTTTTAATTTTACATATTTTAGAATCAGTTCCTTTCCTGGTAACTGCATTTCTAAATGAAATCATCGTGAGTAGTGAGTGCTGAGCAGGCCGTTTTACTATAAACAAATTTTAGGAATTGATAACAACTTCGAAAAATATATCGTTGCACATTCGGTCACAGTCGGAAAAATGTTCATAGTATATTGTACCGTCGTTTGCAACTAACGATGAACAGTCGCTCATAAAAACATTCGCGTGATTAGAATCTTCAATGTTTGTCAAGAACAACAACACTTAATTGTTTTTTCCCATGTGTGCAATAAAAATAAGTAACAAAACTTTGTCTGAACTTGTTGGGCTAGAGACCTACTGGAAACTTTTACAGGCTTTTTAATGAGAATAGAGAATGTTTTATCTGCAACTGTTCACCCTTAGTTGCCACCGACGGTATTTGACAGCATAAAATTGCCTGCGGCTGTGTAACTGATATAAATAAAATACAGTCTGGTTTATATACTGACTTGAGCGTGTCATGACAAACTCTTTATTGGAAAATTGTGAAAAAATAGTCGAATATAGAGGGTCGAATATCATACTTAATTTAAACTTGTATAGCTACAGTATCATTGGTACATAGCGTTGTGAAGACAAACCTTTGCTTTAATACCTTTCGCTTCAGCAGTCTTTTTTTTCCATGCTTCTCTACGCTTTCCCAGGCGAGCTTCTCTTTCCTCAGCAGTCTCCTCGAGCAAACGTTGTCGTCTTCGCTGGCTCCCTCCTTTTTGCGAGACGTTCGGCTTTCTTGTCGTTTCCTTGCCGCTCTTCATTTGGCTCCATACAGTAGTCCATATCTTTTCAATTGGTATTTGATACCATAATTGTTTTATTAAACTCTTTATAGAGCAAATTGCTTTGAAAGCTGTCAAAGTTTTTTGCAAACGTACAAAATACTGCAGTTGAAAAAGCAAATTATTTTCAGTATCTGTCAGTTGAAGTCGCGATTTGTCATACAACAACAAATTTTAAATTTGACCAATCAGTGTTCGCTATCCATGACAGTCCGCCATCTTTTTGAGATCAGTGAGGATGACCACCCACGCACAGTGACCCACGCCCGCGATATTTGATGAACTTTAGACTTGGCTAATGCTTTCGTTTCCCCGGGTGTAAATAGCCGGGGGGAATTAGTACCCTCGCACGGCGCTTCGCGCCGCCGGCTCGGGGATAAATTGTTCTAATTTAACAGTAGTATTGCACATGTGCTTTAATGTTTTCAGGTGATGAATGGCCAAGTGGTAGTTATGGTCTCCCTAGACCTAAATCAGGATGTCCAGGTGGTCAGAATGGGTGGCGTGACGGATGGAGGTATCAGGATATGCAAGACTCTAAGAACAGCAGTGAATGGTCAAGAGTATCTAATGGGTCACATATGTTGGGTTTCATAATTATAGAAAAAAATCGATATGATAATGGAGACGTAAATAGGACATTCTGCATGAAACAAAATACTGGAATACAAGCAAGGTTTTGGCCTGAAGGTAAGGTTTTTCTCTGTATGCAAAGTGATTTATGTTGTATACGTTTATTTGAATGATTTCCCCTTGAAAAAGTATTTTTGTTTTGACAGGTTCGTATTGTATTTATAAGAATGGAATGTGTCCGAAAGATATGAGATCAGGCTGGGTGTACTGGGATGATGAAAATGATTCCAACAGAAATAAACTCGGAGGATTTCTACCAGATGGTGTATATAATCATGATACCAAGATATACTATTGTTGTCAAACTGATGGTAACTGGTATGATTTAATTGAACTGCCAGTCAGTCAACCATTTTATTTACTAACATCTAACTCTACTGACACTCCCAAATGTCAGATAGTGAAGTGGGCATTTAGTTACTTGGAGTATATTGTGTTTGATACAGAAGATAGCAATAATACAGATGCCCAGGGAGGGGAACATTTGTTTCTGGATGGAAGAAAGCTATTCTATTGTTACTATGAAGGTACGTTATAACTCAGTTCGTCCATTGAACATTCAAATAACGCTTTCTACAATCCGAACAAAATTGCATTTGAATCTTATAACATGTACGGTAACTAAGAAAAAAGGTTTAAATTGTACATTTCAATGTGTTCAATTGTTTAATAATCTTTTAATTTATAACATATGCTAACAATTTAAATTAAACACTGTCTGAATTGATTGTGCATGTATTTTTGGGCAGAGCTCATATCTAAGCCTGATAATTGTTTATAGTATCAACCGGCTCAGGTTAAAATTCTTTGGCTCTGAGATTATGAAATTATTAAATAAATTTGAGTCAGAACAATGAATGATGACGTAGAAAACAGTGGGATTTTCAAAATAATGAAACAACAATGCAAGTATGGAACATTCCAATTACTCACTGGATCATACTTTACTGCACAGTACTAATATTATGATAAATGCTATATGCAAGCACATTGCATAAATTTGATTTTTAAGGTCCTTTGATTTTCTTTAATTCTATTCCAGACTGCCGCCGTACAATGACTGGTCTTAGTGGTTCATTTAGATCACATAAGATTGCAGTTAGTGAGACGGATCCACGCTCGCAATATTGTTCCTGGTTAATTACGCTTGCTGAAACATACATCGTTGCATTGAGTTTTAAAGAGCTGACCATACCAAGTTGTAAAGATACATTTCTAAGAATATATGATGGTTCAAATAATACAGCTCCATTGCTTGGCACATATTGTGGTTCAAATGCAAGAGCAGAAATCGTGGTTTTATCATCCACAAATAGTTTATACATTGTGTCAAATTCTGGAAGTTATGAAAGAAGTCGTAATAATACTTTTACTTTTCATGCACAATATAATGCTACGAATTCGACAGGTTGGTATACTTGTATTTGTAATAAGTTAATAATGATATTTGCTGTTTTGGTGTAATGTATTCAGGTGAATAAGATGCTTGTGATGTTACTCTGAGTCTGTGGCGTAATGGGGGAAGAGGGTGTCCTTAGGCATATTTGGTGTGGGGCCCCCTGTTGACTGTTGTCATTGTTTAACCGAGATATATTTATATTGAATATTTATAGAATGTTCCGGAAAATTCCGTGTCTGGCGCCCCAACAACAACAAATCAATAACAGTCTCCAACACATGTAACAACTAATAAGAATAACGTTTGTTTTATTTGAGATGGAATAAAAAAAGCAGCTACCGTTGTCGATGGAGGCTTTATTGTTTAGCATTATTAATTTTGCATTTTCCCATTGATCCTTAAATTAACCTGCATTTTTTACGTTTTCTAATTTTCTGGGAGATAGGCCATACGTGGCTGATGGGGGCCCCTAACTGTCGGGGACCCTTAGTTTTTTAACTAACCCTACCTAATGAGCTTTGCGCCACTGCTCTGAGTGTATATCCACACCGAGCAGGCTTGAAAAATATGCCTGGCTACGGTAGGAATCGAACCTACGACCTTTGGAATACTAGCCCAATGCTCTGCCAACTGAGCTACGCGGTCTGGTCGGTTCGAGTATGTGATATTTCGTCACAGAATCTAGTTTTTTCGATATCAATGTAATCTAATAATCATGATTTTTTTCTCTGTTGGTGTAATGTACTCAGGTGAATATGATGCTTGTGATGTTACTCTGAGTGTATATCCACACCGGGCAAGCTTGAAAAATATGCCTGGCCACGGTGGGAATCGAACCTACGACCTTCGGAATACTAGCCCAATGCTCTGCCAACTGAGCTACGCGGTCTGGTCGGTTCGAGCATGTAATATTTCGGAACTGAGTCTAGTTCCTTCGATATCAGTATAATCTAATAATCATGATATTTGCTGTTTTGGTGTAATGTACTCAGGTAAATAAGATGCTTGTGATGTCGAGTATATATCCACACCGGACAGGCTTGAAAAATATGCCTCGTATTATGGCTAGCTAGTATTCCAAAGGTCGTAGGTTCGATTCCCACCGTGGCCAGGCATATTTTTCAAGTAGCCCAGTGTTGATATACACTCAGAGTAGCATTACAAGCATCTTATTCAACTGAGTACATTACAACAAAACAGCAAATATCATGATTATTAGATTATACTGATATCGAAGGAACTAGACTCAGTTCCGAAATATTACATGCTCGAACCGACCTGACCGCGTAGCTCAGTTGGCAGAACATTGGGCTAGTATTCCAAAGGTCGTAGGTTCGATTCCCACCGTGGGCAGGCATATTTTTCAAGCCTGCCCGGTTTGGATATACACTCAGAGTAACATCACAAGCATCTTATTCACCTGAGTACATTACACCAAAACAGAAAATGTCATGATTATTAGATTATACTGATATCGAAGGAACTAGACTCAGTTCCGAAATATTACATGCTCGAACCGATCTGACCGCGTAGCTCAGTTGGCAGAGCATTAGGCTAGTATTCCAAAGGTCGTAGGTTCGATGCCCACCGTGGCCAGGCATATTTTTCAAGCCTGTCCGGTGTGGATATACACTCAGAGTAACATCACAAGCATCTTATTCACCTGAGTACATTACACCAAAACAGTAAAAATCATTAGTTTTCAAAACAGGGCCACCTTCATCAATACAATGTGGCATTATTCCGTAGATATTTGGGTTCGAGCGAGGCTTGTAAAAACTTTGGACACCACAGGTCTTGCAAAATTGATGTTTGCCTTTGTGTTGATTGAACGTGTAGCATGTCGAGTTGTCATCGCCCTAAGGAGGAAAGACAAGATTATGATATAGAACTGTTCAGTTTTTATTATTCTAAGCCTAAGGCAGAGTAGGAAAAACGCTACGGAGGGTCATACATGTTCAGCTTATCCTATGGGGGGTCCCTTCTTTTGTCGATTTCTTGTGGGCAGGGGGTTGTAAAGATACACAAAGTTCGAAAAATTGCCAAACAACACGAAATTTTTGGTATACACTAATTTGAGCATGAAGATTTCAATAGATAATTCCCATTATAGTCTAATTTTAAAACTAGGCAAGGGGATGCAAATAAATCACCACAGCTAGAAAGAGGATACTAAAATTAGTAAAATTGCAAAGTTTAGTTGCGTAATGTTGTAAAATGTGGAAAATAATAGCCTTGCAAACTTTGCAAATTTTGTGTACTTTCGTATTGCGTGCGGAAATTGCTGTTACATTTGGGCCGAAAATGGTAACAGTTAAGGTTTTTATAATTTATATTGGGTTTTTGGTGCCATTTTAAACTGCCAATGTAAAAAAACAGAACCTTGAAAGAAATTTCATTACATTTTAAAGGAACTTTGCATTCAGTTCAAGGGTTCAGTCATTGTTCGCTGAGAAATATGTTTATTTCGGTTTATGACACTTCACTTTGGAAATCACAGCAATATTAAACGTTAGGAATTACTGATTTTTTTATTTATTGATATTTAAATTATATAAATTATGTACTATTTAAAACACGACAACGAGTGTTTTGAATAGCTTAAAATACGACTACAAAAGAATACTAATTAGGATGAACCATAATATAATCATACTAATTAGGATGAACAATTATATAATGCCACACGCTTTATCAGATATAAAGTCACTCCATGTGACATATTATGGCTAACATGATTTGCCACAAGGTTTATGAATTATAAATGAGTATTTCAAATAAATATAAAATATAAACCTCCCTTTTCAAAAATATAAACCTCCCTTTTCAAAGTGATTAGAAGTGGTGAGAATCATCCCCGAGCCGGCGGCACAAAGCGCCGTGCGAGGGTACTAATTCCCCACGGCTAATTATACCCGGGTATGTGAAAACTTAGCGGAGTGGAAAGTTGTCCTCCATTTTGTTTATGTCATGGACGGTTTTCGACGTTATGCGCATGCGCGAGTACAAACTCTGTCGAAGTAATTGTTTTTCATTTTGAAAGGACGTATTTCGCTGTTTTACAGCAATTTACAAAAGTTTACAAAAGTACAACACGGTTTTTTTCTCGATTTTAACTGGAAATAAGCCTACAGTTTCATGAATTAGTGGCTGTTCAACCGTGAAACAAAGTTTGTATAATAATTGTTTTGATGTTTTGATGTTGATGTCTTTGATAATTTATTAAAAGGTTGTTATGCTGTTTTGGGTAAGTTTAATTAAACATTTCAGTAGTAAAATTCCATGCCGTACTTGCTTTGTGTTGTCGGTTTTATTCATTTTTTTTAAGCCATTCTTAACTCGATAATTCACTTTCTACTCAAACAGATATTCTCTCACAACACAAATTGTTTTTGTGTGGTTATGCTGAGTTAAATCGAACAGTGTGGCATATCATTAACTGTGCACAGGATTGGAATTGAATTATATACTTCACTCACGACCTTCAAAACATTCTCTACTATTCGGTGATCTTCGATATATAATTGACTCTTTGCTACAGTAATGCATGTTCCTCAATTAGTTTGTGTGTATGTTACTCAACAGTTAACATTGGCAAGTGTAAACAACAAGTGACAGAACATTTGCTTCATATGATTACAATAAAGTTTTGAAAATTCGATGAGTATGGATTGACAAGTGACAGTTTACTAAGTAGCCGGCTGTATAGACACTTCGAATATTGTTTGCATGAAATTTTTATTTCCTGACTGCATAATTATCCGTTACAAGCATAATCACATTATAAAATTATAAAATTTTCTCGGCGAGGGGGGGGGGAGTTGCCCCTGCTGCTCTCCGTGCAGGGTACAGCCCTGTTAGATTTGTATTATGTTTAACTTTAAAATCTTATTTGCTATTATATTTATCATAATAAGTGATGAAAGTAAATATGGGTTTTTGTTTGGTGGCCCAACCGTGGACATACAAAAAAGTTGGCGGCTT